GCAGTTTTCACAAATCCACAAATCTAGTACAATAAATTTATGAAGTTACCTTTGTATCCCAGTCTTTTATACTCATCAGAAGCTTTACAAAAAGGCACTGAAAATCTACCACAAAATGTCGTTTTAACTGTTTCTCCAAGCTTATTTTAAATAGCAACACAAGCAGCAGCCATATTTCTTGGTCAGTATATCCATCGTGAATTACTGATGTACAGAAAACTAGAAACTTTAAAAGAAATACAGAGCATTAGACTATGGAATTGTTTTAGCTTATTTTGAAGCATGATGAGAACTTAACTTTCCCACATGCACATTAAAATGTACCTCAAGTGATGTATTGTTTTGGCAACACTTGTGCACTAACATGTCCCCATCTCCCAGTAACAGCACTCTTTTTTTAATACCTGCTGGAGACTCCTTTTTTTAAGCAATGGCAATATTCCCTAGACACTACTGGAGCAAGAAAGATCTTTTCTTTACTATATAGATAATCCTCCTTTAATTGAAGGAAAGGCCAAAAGATTTTCTAAATACTCTAATAATACTGAAAACTAAAATCAGTAGATAGTTTCTTCTATGTGAGGGAACCAACATGCTCTATATAAAGTGCCAGAGCAGTAAAAGGAAGGCAGCAAAACTCTGCAGTTGTGAGTGAAGCCAATGGAAATCAATAAACTGAAATTGCAAAATGCTTGTAATAAACTCTGCTGAATCTGAAGTCTCAGGATACCCTCTACCCAAACACATGCTCAGGACTAGATTGCAAACCTTCTCCTCCCTCCCAAAAGAAAACACAAAAAAAAAGAAACCCAACCCACAAAAACCTTGGAGTTTTCTCACCTTAATCACATTAATTAAATTGTTTTCAAGTAGACTGGGGAACACTGGACTGGCTACATCTCCTCTTGGCCGTTGTTGACTCACTGTTTCTTGCACCTGACTTCTAACAGAAGAAACACAATCTGAGCAAAAAATGAACAATTCAAAAGCCCACAAAGGCTTATTGACATCATACTCAAGGAAAAAAAATCCTGCATGCATCAAAATGCCTTCAAATCAAAAAAATCCTCAGTTACAGAGCATCTAACACACACATATAACTCAACTTGCAGCCAATTATTCTGCCCAGCTATTTAGCCAATACTCCTGCAAACCTTCACTAGAAAGATGCAGGACAAAGGACAATGCCCTGGTTTGCTGAATCCTTACCTAGAAGGCATTGTTTGAATTCCAGGGTTATTTATTCTAAGACCTGAGCCAAGAACTTATAGAATATGGGAAAGGAAATAAAGAAGAACTTTCTGATTCTACATTCTAAGCACAAGACTTGCTTTCACAGGATCTAGGCAAAAAACATCAAAAGGAAGACACTTACAAAATATCATGCTCATTGAAGGGGGGTTGAAGATGTTGCAATGGAAAGAGAGATCTGAACTCAATACCCATATTGACAAAAACAGCTGATATATCAGCTATTGAAGGAATCCATGGTTTAAACTGTTGATCATTGATGGAAGCTACAAATAAAAGACATGGAATGGATTAGTTTAAATTTAGTTCTTTGAATTAGTTCATTTTAAGGGAAACAAATAAGCTTAGCAGTTTGCATCAATTCTAATAGCTCATCTCAGACGAGTCAGTACATTAAACAGTAAGTTTATTTTCAGAATAAGGAGGGAGGAAAAAAGTCTAATACAGTATTTTGCACTAGGGAAACATCCTGCCTACATAACAGGTCGATTACTTTCAAGTTCCACCCATTTTCTGTCCTAGTTCTCTTTCATCACGAACAGCAGAACAAGCAACAAGGCAATATTTTTGCCTAAGAGAATACATAAATTACTGCCTGTGTAGGTAAAGGCAAGAGGGTGTTATCACAGTGGGACTGGAAGAGAAGCTAAGTAAGATTTGAAAACAGGCAAGGTTTCTGGAACAGAAGAGGTAAACAAGGAACTCCCAGCCCTAATTGTTTGAATGCTCATTCATTATCTTGAACTGTTCATTCAGAATCAAGCCTAATGCCAGCAAGGCACAAATTAAAAGGAGGCTACATTCCCTCTGATATCAGTTCTGATTTCAAACAAGAATTAAAATACGGGGTACAATTTGGACAAGCTGAGCAAATACTTCAAGAGAACCACAATGCTTTAACAATGTTAACTGAATGTCACTTTTGATGGATCTGAATGAAGATATGGGGAGCATACAAAGGAACTTGTGCAGAAATATTTGAGTACAGACAAAGGAAGAAGACAAAACACAGAAGACATTAGCAGCACTGTGGGCTGAAGCAGATCCTTCAAAGTGTTTCTGTGCAGGTGTATGATTCACTTCACTTTTGTCATTTATCTGGAAAGTAAATCATGAAGTGCTACACACTGGGTATGACAATGTAAAAAACATCTTGTAGCTCTTAAGCTTCAAATGTCTGCATCATCCAAAGTAAAAGATGGAAAGGAGAGCAAACTTGAGTAGACTGAGCCTCTCTTCAGGTCAATTCTATTTGTTCAATACCAGGAGTGAGTTTAAAAGGCTCTGTACTGGATACTTTGCAGACATGTAGCAGGACCACATACTGTGATACAGGTTGCACATACTCAGTGGAAGTCAGCCCCCAGCTTTTCTGCATTACATTAGTAAAAATAGAGCCTAAATTCAAGCCAAAAATCACCCAACAGAACTAGTGCCTTTTACTGCCTCACTTTTCTAAACTGAAGAGAGAAGTGCTTTCATTCAGGTGGTTAGTTTTATATCCTTCAAATACTTACAGTTTTTTAGTGTTAACTCCATCAATCTGCCTAAGATCTGGGTGGAAACACAATGGTCAGGATGAATAGACATCATCTGTGAAGAGAGAAGAAGCCACACATCAAAAACCAAGCTGCATGACAGCATCAGTTTTCTTTTAATTAGAAGAAAACCCCCCAATCAAACTAGAACAAAAACACCAAACTCCCCAGCAGAGTAAAATGAGTAACAGATTAAAAAACAAACAAACAAAACCTAAGTCCAAAGCCTCTAAAGCAAGATACACCAATGAGAACATAATACTGTGAATATTGATTATTTCAAGCAGTGCAAAGATGATATGAATACTTTAAAATTAATTATTTACAGTATCAGAATGCTGTAATCCCATGTTGGTTTATAAACAAGTCAGAGGGTTAAGAGAATAGAAAGTATCACGTACCCTTTTGGAACCCATTTGCATCTGTGATCAAATTGAGCTCCCTGAGCAGAAGTTGAGGCAACAGAGTTAACTACACCCTTTTCCAGTCACAGACAAGTTGGACATATGCAACACTAAACCCAAGCAATGAAATCTTAGTTTTTCAAAGAACTCTTAACTACAAAAACATGACTATGAAATACAGTTCAGGTTTCTTGGAGCACTTCACCGGCCCAAAAAAACCCCTTATTTTTATCCCCCAAGTGCTGGACAGTTTCCTGCTCTGTAAGTGATCTCAATTGGCTCACACTTCTTCCTTATTAGAGGAAAACCAGAGCTCACAGAAAGAGGGAAGGCAATCTTTTAACTGGCTGGAGGGAAGGACATGCAAGAGAAAATGTTTTACTTTTGGCAAATATAGAAAGCCAGTCAACAGACTCAAGCTGCAATTTCTCAGATTTCTTTTTTGTTTCAGGTGCAGTTAGAATGTGGCAATTAATAACAGAATGGAGACTAGAGGGGGGCGTTTTTGTGAGTAACAGCACTGTGTAAATTCCTGGTGATTCAGACACTGACACAGACATCTTGAAAGGAGAGTCAACCACACTTCCTTTGAGAATGACTGCAGGCTTCTTCCTGAGCCATAAGGTACCTTTTCCAAATGAAAATTATCTGATAATGCTGGTATCACTGATGATTTAGAAGATGATATATGTAGAAAATGATACTTTTGCATACTGTAGCATGTATGGTTTTTCTAAGGGTGAAAGTAAATAAGATTAGCATTCACTCATGATTTGGCCCACAGCACCTCTTCTCACCTACTGTGTCCTTTTTCAATGCAGTAGCATATATGAACATGGAAAAGGCCATGAAGCTTTGCATTCACTCAGAGTGTGGAGAAAAGACTCTCCATTGTTTTACCCCTAGTGACAATCAAAGTATTTCAGACTGGAGAACAAATCACAATCCAGGGGAAAAATAATATCTGATTTAAAAGTTGTTAATGGAACAGATTCACAAACTTCTTCAACTGGCTTCCAGGAAAAATATTCTACACTCACAGAGTTATTATAACTGCATGAATAGCACAGACTTACCTGGAAAAGCCACTTTAGAATTGGTATGGGACACAATGTAGCACGGTAAGCAGAACTTAGAACACCATTAACAACTAAAAAAAGCTGCTGTGTTAGACCAGAACTGCAAGAGGAAAATGGGGGCAAGGAACAAAGATAAAAGCCAATTAGTGATTGCATCATCATTTTCACAAAAACATTCACAAAAACTTCCTCACCCCTCAGATCGTCAACCTCAACAGCAAAGAAAGATCTGAATATGCAAAACAGATGTTATTCTCATGCTATTACTTATATAAAATGTCATAGTAATCAAACCTTGATTTTTAATAGCAATCAAATTTACAAATGTAATTTAGAACAACTATCTTTTTCTCTCTATAAAGTCATATATACAGTCTGGAAACATCTGTATTATTAGGGAATAATAATTTCAAACAAGCATTGATTGACACTATTGTACTACGAACCACCATGCCTGACTACATAGCCTGCTATGCTCAATGAGACTATTAAATAAGACTTTTAACTGTCCAACGACCTTTATCAACACTTTCAGAATAAGAGAGAAAAATATTGCTTTCAAAATTTTTAAAATTCCCTCTTAAATAAAGGGTCTGGAGGCAAACTAATGCAATTAAAATCCCACAGCCTAACCTCAGTGTGCAAATTTGTGGGGTGCAAACAGTAGCTGTTGGAAGAACAGAAAGTGTGCCATTGCTATTACTGAATTACTGTAGCTTTGATCACTGGGATGAGTTCAGTTGGTCAGAGCAGGGTGCTGATAACACCAACCTCATGGGCTCAAATCCCATATGGACCATTCACTTAAGAGTTAGACCTGATGATCCTTGTGGGTCCCTTCAGCTCAGGATATTCTATGACTCTTCTTTAGAAAGTTAGGGATGTCATAAGCAGCTGAATTAAAGATATCCATTTTCCCACATACCATTTTTTAGTTTCCTCTATTCTCTCTATCTACTAAATCAGGTAACTCTGCAAAGAGATGTGTGTCCTAACTGCTATACATACCCTCTACCTGCCTGACTGGTATGACCTCCATGTGGCAACTGGGCAGCCAGTACATGTCAGCTGTGCCAACTGGGCTGAATGCATAAAAGCAATTAAATCATAATTGCCTTCTGCAAGGGATGATCAGTTTAATTCTCATTCCTCTAGTTACTGATTTACAAGATGCTTTTGAAGCTCATACCCTTGTGATCTCCAAAATATATTAACATAAAGGCCTGAAACCAAAGGAGTGTATTACAAACACCACTTCCTCAAGAGATTAAAAGTCTTTCTTCCTCCTCTTCACACCCACAACTGCACATACACAGTATATAAAATCCTTTAAGAGTAACTTAAATCTCTCAGTTCCACAAATGCATGTTTGGAATAAAACACCAATTGAAATAACCAGAAATTTTTCTGGATTTGCACTTGTGGCATTAGGCATTGTCCACTTATTTGTAGTGCAATGGCCTCATAAATACAGAGCAGAAATGCCTGTGGGTTACAGAGCAGCTGTTTATGTACACACTAACAGGCTGGTGGCTCAGTGACGGAATCTAACAGATGTCAGATATCCAGACCCTCTGCAATCCTCATTAGATGGAGCCTCAAATGCCAGACCCATCCAGGATGGAAGCACCAAGTCTTTCAGCAGACATAATGTAATACTAGAAGGTCTCAAACAGGTAACCACAAAGGTCTTTCAGTCTGTAGATAGTTAAGCCTGTGTTCATTATAACATTTCACTTCTGCATTTGTCTCTCACAAACTGGTAAAGTTATCAACAACAGCCCAATGTGGTAGAAATACAGAAGAGGCCAGAACAGCTGTTTATCCTCATGTCTCATTTAAGAGGTTTTTCAAGAATTCTAGAAGAGGAAACAAGGAAGCTTCAAATTACAATTTACTGCTCTGTAAAGCTAACCTGGAAAGGAAAATTCCAGGGAAAGGAAGTCAGTCTTGCCTACTTACTAAGACAAAGCTCATTTGCATGCAAAGATTAAACAGTATCTTAAAACTGCTAAAAATAAAAAAGAAAATTGTACAAGTAAACAAAGCAAAGTGAAGAGCATATTCTTACTTTAGAAGCAGATATTCTACATGATTTTGAGGGATAAAGTGAAAATTCCTCAAGTCAAGGTCATGTTGAGTGAAGATTTTCCCAGCAGCTGATAAATCAAATAAATCTTCTCCAGGATGTTTGTCAGGTATGACATAAGTTACTACTGAAAATCTCCTTATAAATGCCCTGTAAAATTCAAAATAGCTTTTATTAATTCAAACACTGAGAAGCTATTTGCTGCTTGAGAAAGTTATTTGCAGGTGATGAACACAATGGTCTTATGTGAAAACTGAATTGTTAGAATACAGTTGCACCCAAGGAAATCCACTCAACCCCAAAAGATTTTTGAAATGGTTCCCATTAAACATATTAACAATTATTGGAAACAGGAAGAGGTTAGGGAAAAAAGAGGCTAGAAAAGAGATCAAGATATAATTGGTTTTGGAGTTGCAAGGACCTGTGTTCTTCCGAGAGATCATCTCCACTGGCATTGCCCTCATTTTCTCCATCCGAAGCATTGTCCTCTCTTTCTATGTCTTCCTGTAGCAGCTTCTCTATTTCGTCTAACCTGAAATAACAGAAGCTGCAGAGCATATCATCACCATTTAATATTTGCAACAAAATCAACAAAATCCAAGCTCTGAATGTGAACCCTGGAGTCAGAAGCCAGTTACACATGGCAAAACCATGTGAAACATTGCATCTGTGTAAAAACCAAGCATCTTGCTATTCTAAGACACAGAGTGAATGTTTTCCAAAACCTAATGAATTTCCAACAGCACAATCAATCACTGGTTTGTCAGACACAAATATTCAACCAACTTCTGATAAAGTTTTTGTAATTGCACAAGACTTTCAGTTTTGTGGCTGAATGTTTACTTTTTTCTAAGCACCAAACAAGTATTTTATTTGCTAAACACTATTAGTTACAGGAGTATCTGCTACTCCATGGGCAGTCAGCCCACAGTTACCAGGGTCAAATTCTTTAATCAAAACAGTTAATCACATAAGCAGTTAAACACATATACACATCACCACCATCTGCCATTAGCATATAAACCACATTTCATTTCCTACCCAAAAGATCTCTTCTAAGAATACTCATTAGTTCTGTTCACCGACCTGTGTAACTACTCAGACACCAATAGCCTCCAAAATTTGGCAACAAAACTGAGCTACAAATGCCTTTGAAAAAACCAGTACAGTCAGTCTACATAAATATTTCTATTTCATGCCTGACCAGCAGCTGCTAGCTGGCTCAGTGACCTAAAACGAAGGCATCAGTAAATTTAGCCTGGTTCTTCAGGGGTAAACAGATCTATCACAAATCATTCCTTGTTGCTTGGAAGGAGCCTGCCATTCAGCTTTTACTATTTAAGCAATACTTGTAGGTCTTGTCAGTTGAGTTGTATGTTGGTGGCATCAGCAGGCAAAGCTTAGCTTGCTGCTAATCAAACTCTATCAGTTCTGGGGAGATAAGGCAAATCCATGCTTCTACAACACGATCCCACATTTTTCAAACCAGCTTTAAGAAACAAACCTTTTAGATTCTTCTTCCTCCTTCAAGAGATGATCTAAGCTGTTCACATATGATACCTCACTTATAACAGGAGTCTTAGAAAGCTGTAAATGAAATAGTGAGACATTTTAAAAATACCATAAGCCATCAATTCATTATTCAACAATAATCAAAATAAAAACCTCTTCCAATTTTAATGATGTTTTACATGCAGATATAAACCTAAAGGAGATCCTGCAAAACAGGATGATTATCAGTTTAGGTTTCTCAGTCCCTTGACAATTTTACATAATTGTCAAATCTCTCTCAATGACTAATTTAGAAATAACTGCTTCACAGTGGATCTGAACACTGAAGCAAGTCTCTGCATGTCTGAGGCTGACCTTCAGCTAGCCTTCACAAAGAGCATTACCATCAGAAGCCTTTTACCTCACAACTTTATTATTATAATCCACTGAGACCATGGGAATCCCCATTCTTATGCATAAGACAAGAACCTCCAAAAATTACTCAGTTTTTTTTACTTTCAGAGTCCCTAGAGGGCAAAATTCCAGTGTTTGCTAAATCACCTCTAAATTAATCAAACAAAACAAAACTTCCAATCAAAATCCCAATACAAAACCAAATTAAGGAGCTAATAAACAGAACAACACACAAAATTTTAACAAATTTTATAGTGGCTTGTTTTTCAGTAGCCAGCCTTTTATTCCGCTTGTAGCGGACAACAGATTTGAAATCTTTTATGGCCATGATTCCATTCTTTGGACAAGTACAGCTCTTCTGACACCACCCTGGTATTCAGCCAACTTTTAAATATAAAAAGCATGTCTTTGTGTGGGAAATCTTGTAGGAGAGCTGAAGACTTCTTAGCTTATTTTATATTTGGTTAATATGTGTCAAGTAACTGTTGAACAACCAAGGAATCAAAACTTTATCCCAATGTACATATATGCCCCTTCTCACAAGAGAAGAATTTGGGTATATGCAAAAATCATGGTCGTGGAAATGCTGGGACTGTTCTTAACAGTTTTGTCTTACTTAGTCATTAATTATATCAGGGACAGGCCAGCCATATGTTGTGGTCACATATATGTCCCACAAGTATTTGATCTAGGCTGTGTGTGTTTATCAGGCTTAACCATTAATCAGGTAGTCATGGTGGCTGAGATTGTGAAATACTTATGAAACCACACTATAACACTCTTGATCTAGAACACTCCTGGTTACAGAATCATAAGAACAGATTATATAATTACAGCTACTCAACATCTGCCCATGGAGATTGTAATTCAGTCAACAAATAAACCTTATCAGAGATTAAAATGCATGAGGAGAGGGGAAGGCAGAAGAGGGAATTTACAGGTATTCTGCTGTTTGTTTTCCATTCTAGAAACTGGCGATGGGCTGAGCCCAGCCAGCAGCTAAGCATCACAGAGCTTGGTCATTTCCCCAGCCAGTGGTGCAGGGCAATGAAAAGAAAAGCAAGGAAAGCAAAGACAAGAGAATTCATGGGTTAAGATAACAGTTTAATAAGGGAAAAGGCATAAGTGCAAAAAGAAAAAGCAATTCATAGGCAGTCACTCAGCACCTCTGACAAGCAGAAGGACGCCCAGCTACACTCTGAGCAATGGCTACATGCCATACCAACTCCCCTCACTCTTGGTTTTTTGACTGCTGAGCATGACATTGTGTGGTATGGAATATACCCCTTTGGTCATCCCGGGTCTGCTTTCCAGGCTCTGTTCCCTCCCAGCTTTTTGTATGCTCTATGGGGGCAGCATAGGAAGAAGACAGCGCCTTGATGCTGTGCAAGTACTGCTCCATGACAGGTAGATAACTGGTCTATTATTAACACTGGTTTTGTCTGAAACACACAGCACCATATAGCTGTTATAAGGAAAATTAATTCCAACCAAGTCAGACTCAGTACAAAATCTCTTTGTTTAAATACAGCCATTTCCAACCTGTACCAATTGTCAGGAATGCCACAATAAGACCTACTGCAAGACCTTCCCTATTAAAACATTATTTTACAATAGAATTTCCAAATCACTACCTATTTGACAAGCTCTTATTGAACAAATGAGCTAATTTTTAAAAACACAAATCAATTCATCACCATAACATCCTGTACACAGGAATTCAAAGATGTCATCTATCCCTAGTGATCAGAATTCATTCAACTTTTTGAAATACTAAAACACTTCCAACTTCCATGAAATGCAAC